CACCCACAACACAATGCTTGGGATCCAAATGTGTCCCAGGACTCACTTACTCGTGTTGACAAGGGCTTCCTAAATATTGATTGGCACCCACAACACAATGCTTGGGACCCAAATGTGTCCCAGGACTCACTTCACTGTGTTGACAAGGGCTTCCTAAGTATTGATTGACACCCACAACACAATGCTAGGGAACCAAATGTGTCCCAAGACTCACTTCACTGTGTTCACAAGGGATTCCTAAATATTGACTGAAACTCACAACACAATGCTTGGGAACTCAAATTTGAGCAGTTATGTGTGTCAAGGACCTACATCAAAAAATCATGAAAAACATTTACTGTGCAATTACCATAACCGGGGACACATAGACAGTTAGGCAAGCAAACCAAATATAATGTAGAATGAAAACAATGCATTCCAACTTTGGGTAGTGGAGCCAACTAGAAACCTAGACTGCACAAGAATAATTGAAGTTTGTTCCTGTGAGGTGTAAACAACTAGATATACATCGTCATTTCCTCGTGGGAATAAAAAGATATGTAGGAAGGCTATTGTTTTCTGCTGCTTTCTGATTGGCTCCACTACGCAAAGTTGGAATATACATGTATTATTTTTATTTTACAATTTGATTGGTATCGCTAAGTGGCCCTGGTTATAGTAGTCACACTGTAATATTCTTATATCTCCATTGTACGTCCCTGCACAGTCATCCTTGATGCTTGTACATTCTTATGGTGCCCACTATATATTACCCCCTCTTTTGAAGGGTTTTCATTAAGTTTTGAAATAATAGGAGAAGATCATGGTAGTTTAAGCCCAAGGAATTTTGCCTCTGTTACCGAAGCATTCTCCAATCTCTGACACTTAATGAAAACCCTGTTTATGCCAGCTACCAATTAGTATTAATAATGAATTATCACTTAAATGAAGCAATTGCTTTACTCAGTTCTTTTTTTGTTTTTTGTTTTCCTTTGCTAGAAGTCATACAACATCAAAAACAAAGATTAGATCGACTAAGATTAGAATATGAAGCTGAAAAAATAAAATTATCAAGACTACACAAGTTCGTGAAAGATAAAGAGGAAGAACTTATAAATAAGAAATACCGAGTAGCTAGTAATCCTTCGGTAAGTACAGTTAGTAATACATGGTGCACACAGCTCCTTGAAAACTCCTTGATTTTGACATTTCCTTGAAAACTACTTGAATTCGACTTTTTTTGTAATTTGTCCTTGAATAGTCTTTTTAATTATTTTTATGAAAATGTCCTTGAATTTGCATTTAATTCATCCTTAGAAAATAAAGCAATTGTCAATATACTGATCAAGAGAGAAATCTTTTGATATTCAAGCAGTGAGTGCCAAAAATTATTTTCTTCAATAGAGTGCTCACACTAAATCCGTGAAACAAATACTAATTTTTAGCACTAAACAGTGATAATTAAACAATAGAAAACAAAGGATTCTGTATGAAATAGTACTAATTAGTACTATTTAATGTTCACGGTTTTAGTGCGCGCAAAAACTCTAAAGGCTGTTGTACAAGGCTAGAATCTTGTTATTCAGAAAGTTGAACTTGTTTGGAAGTAGAGATAAATTTTCTATAAAAAAGCCTGACAAAGCAACATTCTAACACAAATGCTACAAAACAACCTTGTACGATTGAAAATACTGCTTCAAACAGGCATTTTATCATAGTACATCAGTTTCTACAGTAACTGCAGGCATCCCAGATCTCCTATATATCCTATATTTCCTATAATTTGTATAGGATCCTATAAAGAGCCTATATTTAAAGAAAACCTCCTATATTTCCTATAAATAGGACAACTGCTGAGTGATTCATTTATATTTTACACTGTTTAGGATTTTTTTTTTTTTTTTGGTTCTGTTTTTTTAACGGCTTTTTAGTTCTGCAAATCATTGCCTGTGCACCCTCCCGATCCCTGGTTATGCAACCCGAAAAGCTATCTTAGCTCCTAAAAAGATATAACTAGCTAAGAACTAGTGTGAGCTGTAAGTTTTTTCATCTTTTCACGGTGTATAATTTACCTTTTCATCATTACTTTATCTTAGCTCCTATGAAGTACATATATTTTTGGGAAAAAATCCTATATTTTCCTATATTTACAACTTGCACAGCCTATATTTCCTATCAAATTTGTCTAAAAAGTGGCTGGGATGCCTGTAACTGTTTAAAAACGGTTTTGAGTGTTGACCCAAAACGAAAATTGGGATAAAAGCTCATGCAAAAGTCAAGTTTTTGGAGCTTTTTGCCATTATTGCTCATTATTGAAAAAAATTTCCTCTTAAACAAATGATCAATTTGTTGATATAACTATTTGAATTCCTTTTATCAGTGGAGACTGAAAGTCGGTTTTACATGAAATTTCAGACTTAGAGTAATGCAGGCGAATACATGTGCTCAAGTGACATGAATAGAATATTTCTTTATTTTTCCTACTTATTGGACCGTTACCTGTTATGAGATGAGGACAAAAGGGTGTTTTTGCTGTCCTTGAATATATCGTAAAACTCCTTGGAAAGTCCTTAGAAATATATTAGAGAATATTACATTATCAGAAAACTTGAGAAGTGTCGAGAAGCACTCCACTATGCATTGATAACACTTCTTTCATGTTCTGCCAATCCTCACTTGTTTCACTGCACAACACTTGTGCACATTTTCTGTGTCTTCATGAAATAAAGTTTTAACTTGAACTTGAAGACAATTGTGAATAATTGATGTAAAAAAGGCTAAGTACCTTTTATTTGGATTATGATGGGTGTTAATCATTGACTTTGCATTGGGCTTTACAGAAAACACATGTTGATCATTTGCTAGAGGAAACACAAGTATTACGAACAGAAATAGACAACATGACTCAAGTAATAGATAATATAAATAATGGTGGTAAGTATCAGCTTAGTTTTACAGTGTGAACACATTAACCAAGGCCACCCATACAAATTTTAAATCAAATTCACAAATCACATTTTTGATCTTTAATGACCAGATGGTGCAAATACGACATTTGCATGATGGCATCATTTGACTCCCACTACTAGACTCCCTTGCAGCTACGGCTTGATAAATTTTTAGAATTGTTTTAAAATGCACACAGATTATGACATATTGCTCTAAAACTATTCTCTTTTTTCTTCCCTAGCGAGTCTACTAGGCTTTGTAACAACCAGTCAATCCAATGCAGAAAATATCTCATCAACCCCTCACCAACATCCAGGTAACTCAACTTTTCATCGTTGAGACATAAAATTATTAGAGAAAAACTATTGCAATTAAATTATGATTTACTGTTTGATTTATCTGCTTTTCTTCTCTCTGCACCATAGTTCCCTTTGTCCTGTTACATAGTCAATATAAAAAGAATAGACCATTTTCGAATTACTGAAAAACCGCTGTGTTTCTTGATCACATACTTGTTTATACAGGGGGGGCAGAACCGGGGGGGCAGGGGCATGCCCCCCCACCAAATTTTTTTGGGGGCCTGGCCCCCCCCCCAAAAAATATTGGTTCTTAGTCATTGTTTTACTTCGCAAGCGTCTGCAATCAAACAAAACATTGTCATTATCACATAGCGTTAAATAAAATCTTCAGTGCCCCCCTAAAGATTTTTAGCTTCTGCCGCCCCTGTTATACTGGGTTAGCCTCATTTCAAATATTCAAAAATACCAACGGTAGTTAAGGTGGCTGCCTACTTTTGAACGTTCGATTTGAGCTCACGATGTGCGCACGCTCAAAAATCGCTGAGAAATCTACAATCATGTTTTGAGCTTCAACAGGGCAAAACCCTCAAATTTTGCACGGGACTCTATATTTTTTGATAGCTCATTCGAAAAATAAAAATCTAGGTTATATCAACATTTTAGGAAAAGTTTAAATCAGGAACACGTGAAAAAATAGATTTTTGTTCGACTTTATGAGATTTTTTAAGAGCACCGAAACTACAAAATATGACAAATCAATGTATCTCTCTGTCTTTTTGTCGAAAATATCCATGTATTATTGTAGAATGATTGACTAGCCTTCGTTCGTGCAATCATATAGTCTGTAAATAACTGTTATTTTTTTAATCTTAATTTTTTTCTAATCACTTCCGGTGGTGCAATTTTTACTCCAAAAGCTTGTGCGTAGGCTTCCATTAAATGCTGATTATCTCGGAAACGAGCTCGGGACACCCTATTTTTCTTTCCAGATTTGGAATCAGCATTAAATTTCAATTCAGAAAATCGAAGTTTTAAAAAAAGCTTAAATCAATTTCCAAAAGTAGGCAGTCACCTTAATGCACAATTTCAAGAATCCAAACGCTTTCAAATTCCACAGACCTTCATCCAGTGCACTAAAATTCATGAATATTCAAATTAATTCCATACAAAATCGAAGCTAACCCTGTAGAACAGAGAGTTCGAAACTGGAGTATTCAGAATAAACTGAATAATTTTCTTTGTAGTACCACCACCCGTACAAAAAAGTGCTAGTTTTCCTCGAACCACGGGTCAATATTTTGGTCCTGGTGTATGGAAATATAAATCTCATCCTCCAGTAGAAGGCGAGTGACTCCTAAAATACTATTAAATAAAAATTTTTAGGGGGGAGATGACGGCTTAAATTTACTAAGCATTGTTATTAAATTTTTGTACATGCATTTGAAATTCTGGGATTTCAACAATAATACATAGTAATTTTATTAAAATTATTTAATGAAGTTGCATTGGGAATCAAGGGGGGCGTAACAGTGGTGTACTCGCCTCTCACTTGTGGGGTCTCAGATTTGATTCCTTTGTTTGGCACAACATGTGAGCAGAATTCTCTAGCTCTCCCTTGATTTGAGGGCCTCCTCGCTGTTTTCTTCCCTACCCAAAACCTGCTAAATAGACCTTTTCGGCAAATTGGGTGTAATGTTTTCCCATTTCAGATCACAGGTCATTCCCTAAGGTACCATTTCTTTGTTTAACATGTCGCAGTAAGACACATAAGTATGGATACAACTCAAAACAGATAATTTTATTCTCAAGATAATACACATGGTCTGAAAAGGGTAAAACATTACTTGTATGCTCATGCCTTAAAGAACTATTCCAATTCAATCTGGGAGTTATCTGTGCCTTGAAATACAGTACCCCACAGATTGTTTCAGGTTAACAGTAAAGTTTAAAGTTAAATTTAAAGCAAATCTGAATCAAATCGTGACTAGTATTTTTATATTCACAGGAGTACATACCCCTCGCCCCCCATGGCTACCACCTATGGGTATGTATTATAGCACACTGCATATGTTATGGTATATTCTTTTGACAGTTCACTCTCTTTAGAATAAGATTCTTTGTTTGAGTTGTATTCATATTCATGTGACTTATCATGCACAACCGTTAAACAAAGGAATGATACTCTAGGGAATGACACTTGGTCTGAATGGGAAAGTCTTACGCCCAAGCTAAAGATTTTTTCTTTTGAAGGTGAACGTCCCAAAACTCAAAGTCCAGTTCATGACCCAAGTATGGACGAATGGATATTACTGCCAAAAGAATTAATATCTGCACCCATTCCTACCACGACAATAGAACCAACACCCCCTCCCCCACCAGAAGATACAGGTAAGTTACTTACCATAATGTCACCATGGTAACTTACTAATAAACCCTTCTCAAAATTATCTTGGGCACGACATTAACGCCTGCAAACTCGCAAAATGCGAGTGAAATTTTGTTTTAGCAAATGAGAAGTTTTGTGAGTATGACCACAGTCCAGAAAGTGAAGGACTGAAAAGTTTAGAACCTGCATCAAGTAAAGTTTGTTAATGGTCACGATCGATTGCTAGTGACTTTGACATTTTTGCTAGTGAGAACAAAACTCACTAGCAAGGTTTTGCTAGTGGATTTAAAAATTAATTTCGTGCCCTATCGATGTGAATGTGACATGAAAACACAAAATAAATCACTCTTTTTCTCGATGGAATTTGTGGAATTTTATTTGCATTTCCATGTTGCATTTCCATGTTGCCATTTAAGAGAATTTTGGGAAGTGTCCATGTAAGTCCGTCACATGTAAGGAGTCTATAACGAATACTTGCTTTGTTTTTGTTTCAGAGCAAACATGGCAATGTAAACACTGTACCTTGGAGAACCACGGGGCATTGAACTCCTGCGAAGCCTGTGAAAGATCACGAAACTGACACAACCTCATACGTGATAAGTCGATACATAAACTCGTCCCAACCCCTCTCTGATAAATAGCCGAAGGGGTTGATGGGGAGATTCAGGGTTGATACTATAATATAATGTACAAAGTTTTATATGCTATCCGGAAATGCTACCGTTACTTCCATTGCACGTCCGGTGAGGCTGTTACAGTTGAAGTTATCAGTTAGTGTAAAATGTCCTTATTTGGCCATTCGTGTTGGATCCATAATCCTTAGCGACACGGTGCCTGTCGTTTATAACTATCACTCTATCGAATAGAAATATTTGTGTTAAAATTAGGTTAAGTTATTCATCAAAACTTGAGGATATTTTTTTATCGTTATTGGCCGGAATTAATTGGGTTTTTTTTCCTCGGAATAAGTTCTTTACGGCACAAGCATTGCCGCAAATCCGTGCTTTCTAGAAAAATGAACCATAAAAAAGAACGAAAAATGTCAAGAACAAACTTTTAAAAAATACTTGTTCGACGTGGTTGTTTTTTTATTTTATTAATTCAGGGATGAGGTGATAAATAACCTGTGAGTTCCTGTGATTGGCCTTTGGAAATAATAACAATAACCCATAACTGCACATCAATAAATGCACGATAAATACTGTAATATTAGGCATACCGTGTTGGCATTGCAGTGCACTGTAGGATTGTGTTAGGGGACGCAATAGACGCCGTCCTGGAAATCCTCTTCTTTCGCATACAATCGAAGGACGTTTCATTTAGGGACAGTGTTTTGATTGGTTATCCTCGAGGCGCAAAACATTATTGGGCATGCGAAAGTAGAGAATATGCCTCCTAAATAAACGACCGCAATGCACAGAAATGCCAACTAGACTCGGTGTTTTCCTCAACATTGAATTGGCTTTCCGTAAGAAAGCTTTTTTTCATGAGTGGGCTCACTGTGGTATTGACTTTTAAAGTAGACCAACACTAGAGCAGTTGTCAAATGAGTGTGAAAAGCTCAGTGCCGTGCCGTGACCGTGATGTTTTCTAGAATTTTAATTGGCTGATTTTTTCTCGCGTTATTTGATTGGTCTGGGCAGTGCATTGACCTCGGCGTGGGCTTGTTCATGCCGTGTTCCGGGCATTTGATTGGATGGAGAATAAATTCTTGAGTAAGGTGATTGGTCTGGCGTAAGCCTTGCCGTGTTGCGACCGTGTTCGTGCCGTGAGCTTTTCACAGTCATACGAAAACTGCTCTATGGCAGCTGTGACGTGACAAATCCGATTCTGACTCATTTTTTTTCCAGATATAAGAGAATCTAGTCACTCTCTCTCCCTCTCTCTCTTTCTCTCTCTTTCTCTCTCTCTCTCTCTCTCTCGTGCAGCGTAAGAAATTTCTTGGTCTAAATTCAAGGGTTGATCGTAAATATTTCACTGTATTAAAAATATTCTGTAAGAGTCATATCCTTGCATTCTGTGGTCGATTTTCACGTGCGTATTTCTTTCTCGTCTGCAACAGTTCATGTTACGATAACTTTCAAATTTCTCGCGTTGCTGATTGGTTATTTTTTATCATCAATAAGAGGACAGACAGATATAGCTGACTTCAACGAGCGCGCACTCTTTCCGTTGGTTGTTTTGTTTCTAATAATGAGAAGTTTTTATCGTTTTTGTTATTGTGAAAAACAAGTTTACTTCATTTTTTATGTCTTCCCTCTTATTGACGATAATAATCACATTGTTAAACTAGTGTGAATCCATACGCCTCTTGGCAATACGATGACGCAATTTATCGTCAATAAAATGGACAGGCACAACAAATGTTGTTAATCTTTGCTCGTCTAGCCAGCGAGTGGAGTCCTCGCTTTATGAAAATTGGGAAAATGTTCCACGAATTGAAAGATTGGTGGAAGTATATTAGATTTGAACATAGTTCTTTGCGCCAGTTAAGCACTTTTACAAACTTTCCTATTTCGACCACGTGTCATTTCAAACAGTATCATTCTTTGTTTAAAAATTGCGCAGGAGAAGACGTATGAATATGGATATAACTCAACCAAACAAAAATATTTTTGTTCAAGGAATGACACGTGGTCTGAAATCTAAAGACATTTTGCAGCACGTCGGAATGCAGCTCAAATCAATGACATAATGGGTTTCCAATTCTCAGGAGATAGAAATTCTTTTGTTTTGTCCTCCAAATTGAGCTGCTTTGACGTCACATGCAAGGGGTCAATTTCTACAGATCTAGTGTTGCCCAAAGGACAAATATCAACTAAGGTCACGATAGATACAGTTGTATAGAATGATGAAAGTATTATGATATTGTTATTAAAAAAATGCGTCCAACGCGTTACATTGTTGAAAATAGATGTGAATAGAAAAAAATCTGTTGTGTGTGGTTCTCTACTCACGGATTTGATTCGTCGTCTTAAGGGGTGGCGATAATTCATGGTTCCGAATCCCCCTAGTTACCGTTGCTATGTCCCACCAGCTAAAATATCTGGTTTGAACATCTCATGATGTTTAAGTTTTTACCGTTCCATGAAAGTACCAAAACAACACTGTCTATTCCGTGTATGCAGTATTTTTTCAACTTGTTTGGAGAAAACTTGGTGCTCAAAAGGCACGTTTGCAGGGGCGATAAGGATTCACCCAATAACCCGACCTTAATACTTCTCTAAAAAGCTGATTCGTGTTGAACACTCCTGTGTCCAAATTGATTCCTATGATGGAACGTTTAAAATGGCACTTGGGCACTTCACACTTTGGAAACTATAAAAAAATTCTATCGAGACGCATCCTATTGGCTGATTATGAGGAAACCATACCTTTTGAAAAGTAAATTTTTTTTATTATTTACGATAAAGGACTAATGTTTTATTGTTTAATGACTTCAATATGGGTGAGACTAGTTCATCAATATTCTCAATTCTGATTGGTTCATTCTCACGTGCAGCAGGTTGGTATGCATATAATCAGCTCAAGTGGTAACTGATTTCTTCAAATCTTTGTGCAACTTCATAAGGTATGGTTTCTTCGTAGAAGACAGAGCTGTATTTCTCTCTTTAATAGCGACGAAGCTTCCTTCATGAATCCATAGTAGTATATTCTAGAGTTCTTTCATGTTAAGATATGTCAAGGCGGACGAGGAAAGGAGCTAATGGTGCTGCTTAAAGCCCATTGTACAAGACATCTGTCAAGATTGCTTTATCGAAGCAACGAAGTGGTGACCTGGACCAAGAAAGTAGCAATGGAGCACAGGTGAACTGAATAACCTTCCATTCTTCGCTGTTATACTTGCCTAAAAGCTATGAAACATTAAACTAGGACGTCTGAAAAGCTAAGAACTAGAGCTTTAAAATTAATTTAATGAAGATGTGAACATTCAAAACGAGTTTATTGACATATTGTATAAATTTAAGTGAAAAACTCTTAAACTAAACTACGACTAACTTTCGTAAGTCAAACGTTTTTTGTCTTGGTTCGCGTCTACTCAAGGGCAGAATGATTCTTTGAAATACTGTAGAATTTAAACATTAAAGAATGTTAATTTATCGAAGGCTTTAGAGTTGAAATTTTAGTCTGACCTTCAAGAAAAGAAAACATCCTTCAGGACTGAACGTCCACTATATAGTTGCAAATTACTTGTAAATCAAGACATCTTTTATTGCTGAAGATTTAAAAAAATTATCATCAAAAAAACACTAGCACTTTATGAGTAGATGGACCAGAATGGAACATTGCTGTATGCGTGCAAGGCGCCGCCCAATAGATCTTCGACGGTGAGGTCAAACTGAAGTGTAAATAACATCATTTTAGGGATTCGAGCTCCCAAAGTCTGTATTTCCTGTGATGAGTTGACTCTAATAACAATGTTTTGAATGAATTCTCCAATAAAAAAATAACCCCAACTGAAAACTATATATACATTTCAAGGGCGGATCCAGGGTTTTTTTGAAGGGGGGTCTCAGGGGTAAATTTTGTGGGCAAAGGAATCCCAGTCGCATTTTTACCACA